CCCGGAAGGTCTACTTGCCAGGGTGCTCTGGGGAGACAGCCCGATGCCTCACACCTGAGCATTTCAGGAAGCCTCTAAATGCCTCCCATTGCCCAGCTCAGCCAGCCTCCTGCTTGGAGACGTCACGTCCCAAACCTGTTTTGACCCTGTTGAGACCCCTCTGCCTGCTTACCACTTCCCTTCCCAGACAGAAGGTCTCCCACAGACTCCGTAGGACACCCAGGCCATCCAGCACCGGCTGTATGCACACCTGTGTCCTGGGCACCATGGACCGGCGGGGAACCAGGGAGCCCACAGAGGAACTCACGATGCAGCCAAGCCAGTAACGAACGTAAGCCTCAGTTGTGGCTAGAGAACCTTAACCAAGTTGCCGGCACCCAGAGGGCAAGTGAATGGCCTATGAGGGGCCAAGCCGCAAAAGCCTGACCCCACTTAGGGGAGGTTAATCAGGGTGTCCACCCAGCACCCTACCCGTGGCAGCCCTGCCCCAACCTTTCCCCTGCTCCAGCAGGCACACTGAACACTGCCTCCTTGGCTAATTGGCCTTTATTAAGGGAGCAATCCACAAGGAATAGACTTTCCAATGGAGCCGGAATGTCACTGCTCTGCCAGCCCTGATTTAAAGTGATGGGACAGCTCTGCTGGCAAGCATGAAAAGTGACCATTATCCTGAGTGGCAATTATACCAGCAACCCCAGGCCCACCCCCGTCCCCTCCATTATCAGACAGGAGCTGGATTTGGGTTGGGAGGAGCTGGGCTGGGATCACGATCTGCTGTGCTGAGAAGGGGACACAGGCCCCCAGCACCCAAAGCCCACCCCTACACTCTCTCTCTCCCCTACTCAGGGTTTAAAGCTCTGGGCCTCCTTTGCCCTCCTGGAGGGGCTCTGATTCACTTCATCTCTCCCTAGGGTATTCCACCAGATGGCCCTGGGAGGACTCAGGGATGGAGCTGATGGAGGGTGCTGCCCTGCGCTTTCTTTCCACTGCTGGGAGAATACCCTGGGGTGGGTTTGATTACTGGGGTAGAGGCCCCTCAGGATGGAGAGAAACTGCTGTCCCAAGTCAGGCCTCCTATCTCCCTGCTACCAAGAAGCCAGCCTTCTCTTTGGCCCCAAGGATCAGGATAAAGTCCCCAAGGATCAGGATGAGGGCCCCAAGGATCAGGACAAAGCCCCCAAGGATCAGGACGAGGGGCCCCAGGATCAGGACGAGGGGCCCCAGGATCAGGACGAGGGCCCCAGGATCAGGACGAGGTCCCCAGGATCAGGACGAGGGGCCCCAGGATCAGGACGAGGGGCCCCAGGATCAGGACGAGGGCCCCAGGATCAGGACGAGGGGCCCCAGGATCAGGACGAGGTCCCCAGGATCAGGACGAGGGGCCCCAGGATCAGGACGAGGGGCCCCAGGATCAGGACGAGGGGCCCCAGGATCAGGACGAGGGCCCCAGGATCAGGATGAGGGCCCCAGGATCAGGACGAGGGGCCCCAGGATCAGGACGAGGGGCCCCAGGATCAGGACGAGGGCCCCAGGATCAGGATGAGGGCCCCCAGAATCAGGATGAGGGCCCCAGGATCAGGACGAGGTACGAAGGGGACGAGGAGATGGGGCTCAGTCTGACATGACCACTGATCCCCCCTCCCCTAGCCCCAGCATCTCTTTCAGGCCCTCAGAAATGCTGCCCTGGGTGCCAACATGGCTAGCACCAACTGGTTGAAGTCAGTGGTGCCAGGAGCAAAGCGGGATGCCACCCCGGCCCCCAACAGGCAGGCGTGCCCAGCAGCCTGTAAGTCACCTGTCTTTTTCTTCGTAAGGAGGAGGAGCACTGGCCGCATAGCCCCGCCTCCCTCCTGCCCCTAGTGATGTCGCCCAGGACCTCACTAATGGCAGTACCCTCGAAGCTCCACCCAGTAGATGGGACCCAGGATTCTCCCACCCAGGAGGGGGTGCAGTGTGAAGGCAGGGGGGTGTGGCGGCAGCGGCGGGCTTGGAGAACTACCAGGTAGGCTCCAGGATCTATAGGAAGATCTCTATCTATTGATTGCAGGCCTCAGGTTCAACTCTAATGCCTCAGAAAAGCCTCCTTTGGGGATCTGAGCCATGAGACTAGAACAAGTGATGGCTACATAATTCCTAACAATTGCTCTGGGTCCCAAAGGGCTCAGGCTCTGACCAGCTCGGCATCCCTCCTCACCCCTACCCTCTCACTCCCCTCCAGTCTTCCTGTGTGCACTGTAAAGCAACAGAAGTGTCCCAGGAGTCCTGCCTCAACAACCAGCCCACCTGCCCTTGGCCTAAACACCTTCACCCTTTCTCTTCCGACTTGGCTCTTTCCTCTGCTCCCTCTCTCGTATCGGGCCCAAGCACCTGCCTGCAGGTAAAGCGCAGTGACCTGCCCCATGCCCAAATCCCGGCTAACTCCCAGCTACGCCCTGTCCGCCTCCCAGGGAACACAGTGGCAGACACTTACACACACGAGCATCCATTGCTCTTCTGCTAACTTTCCACCTTTCCTAAGGTCTACGTCTTACTTCATCATTTCACGAGTGACTAGCATAAAAGAACTGGGTCTTTGAGATCCAATGTCTCCCAGCTCGTAGCATGTCACGGGAATTCTGAAAATATTAAGTAATCAGAAAAGTCAAAGATTCAGAGAAAGAGAATCCTTGCCTGGTAAAAAGAGTGCTGGTAGGTACCTCCTAATTAGGAAACGACAGCAAGTTTTCTCACTAGAACCAAAAAAAAGAAAGCCACTCCATCAGTCAGCTCATTAACCTCTGCCAAGCTCTTAAGGGAAGATGAAAAGAGTTCCTTGTCGCCCCACAGCTAAGTTGCTAGGAGAGCCTTCATCACAGGCAAGTCTGAGAACTAACTTCTCTTCCCTATCAAGGGGGATTCGGGAATCCCTACCACACAGGAGGATGTGGATTTACCACTCTGGCCGTCCATTCACTCACTCATAAACTTATAATGAGTGCCTACAACGTGCAGGGCCGGGACCCCTGTGCCCAGGTGTGAGGAGGATGGAAACCAAGTAGGGGCGGGAGCTGGAGAAAGGAGCCACAAGCAGTTATATCTACTCTGGCCAGCAGGGGGCGAGGTGGGGGTGGGGAGGAGGGCTGCTAAGTGGGCGGTATTGGCCAAGGCCCTGAGCTTCCCCACCAAGGGCTTTCTAGTAAGTGGTAAGATATGCAGAGTGGGACAAGGCAGAAAGGTAGGTTGAGACTATGAACAAGGGCAGAGAAGGAAACTCCACAATGAAAGTGTAGGCAGCACTGGGGTAAATCACAGGCACCAAATACACACCACCACTTGGCTGACACTGATGCTGGCAAATGAGTCGGAGGACCAGGAGCATCTGCCCAAAAGCGGCCGTGAAATCATTCTTGACATTCCAATGGTTCAGCCCCGGTTTCCACAAAACCCTCACCACAGGACAGGTAACATCCTAACAGCGGTGGTGGCCGGAGGGCCCCAGACCAGGCAGGCATCTGGGGAAATCCAACTCAAACAATCTCAAACTGGGCTCCTCAAAAGAGAAGCAGCGGCCTGTGCCCCCAGGCTGGGAAGGGGGCTCCCTCCCCAGAGGGAAGGAAAGGATGCAGGACCCCATAACTAATGAGGTCAGACATGAGGGAGGCCATCACAATAGCCTCCCCTCCCCCAGACTAGAAAGGAAACCCAGTGCTTAAGAGATAAAGCGATTTGCCCAAGGTCACAAGAGAAGCTAAGACAGAACCAAGACTAGATCCCGTCTTCTTCCCACCCAGCCCTGAGCTCTTTCCTTCTGTGGGAAAAGTCTTCCCACGCGCACACCCAAAAAAGTTTGTCAGTTAAAGCAGGTCACTTCACACGGGTGCTGAACATCAAAGCACAACGGCTTCTACCCAGCTTCACCGTGAATGACTTTCTCCTGCCCCCAGGGCTCCTTCTGGACCCTGGGCAGCTGACAGCCTCCAGCAGGCAGGAGGACAGGCCCTGGGGCAGAGCCAAACATCTGTGCTGATGACGCTGGGGCTCTGGCGAAGAAAGGCAGAGGCAGCAGCTGGGATGAAGAAGCCATGAGATATGAATTTAAGAAGTTTTAAAATTTGCCTAACTTGTATTCCTTATGCACGCATGCACACGTGTGTGCCTGCAGCCTTCAAAATCACAGAGAACAGAGAGCGATTCCAAGTTGCCCCACCCACTGATACCTTCTCTAGAAAATAATCTCTCACCGAGGATGGGGCACTCCCTTTGTCCCTTCCAGTCTTGGGGGCTCCTGGAGCCTGAGAGGGCTCGCTGGCGTTCCATGGTGGGAGCACATGGCCAGCCTGCTCCCTGCCCAGTCCACTGCAATCCCTCAAAAGCAGCTGTCCGCCACCCGATGGCAGTATCCCTCCCACACTCTCCTTTCCCACACAAGCCCCACACTCAGGGGCAGATCTGCAGGCTAGCAAATGTGTCTCCTGGCTTGGGACAGGGGCTCCTCTCCTTTTCCCGGGACTCACTCAAGGAGTGAGAGGAAGTGACCTCGACCATCCCTCCCACCCCTCCACCTCATGCCCACAAAAGGCGGCCGACTGTCTTCTTGTATATTCAGGAAGACTACAAGAAGATACTCGAAAATCATCCACACTTGTGCCTATCTCCGACTCAAGGTCACAGCTGTTAAAAATTCTGGCCCCACACCTATTTCTGCAGGTTACCCAGTTGGAGGCACTTGCAGCATGGGTTTCTGACAGGGGAGGGAGGTGGTGGCAAACTTCGCCAGCCACCTAGGAGTAGAGTAAGTCCCTCCTGGAAGACTGGCAAGTTGGAGCCTCCATTCAGCCACCGAGGAGAGAGAAAGATGAATGAAGGGGGGGGGGGTAACGATTTAAAAAAAAAAAAAAAAAAACCCACACTTACCGTTGTGCAGAAAGCAGGGCAATGCAGCACCACGGAGGAAGAGGGTAGCATTACGGTAAGCAGCGAAGAGGAGAGGTGGCAAAGGAGAGAGAAACGCAAGGACTTACCCAGAATATCAAATTGAAGAGGAACATCATGTACTTCAAGCAGCAGAGGCAGCCCCTGGCCATGTTGCACTTCTTAAATTCTAGGAGAAAAACAAAGGACAGGTCCAGGTAAAACACCACGTACTTGCTGCCTTTGGGTGCATGGTACTTGTCAGTCTTGACGCCAGCCTCGGCGCGGCTCTGTCCCCGGGAGCCCGCGGTGCCGTAGAAGGCGCCGGCCGTGAAGCCGCGGCCGAACGGGCGGCCCGAGGTGGACGGCTTAGCAAAGTCCGAGTCCTTGCTGTCCAAAGATGGACTCCGGTGGATCGAAGAATCCTCGCTACTCGACTTCTCCATGCTCGCGTCGTTCCCGGGGGGCGCGAGGGGCGGGGGGCATCGCTCCCGGAGTGGGACGGAGGGGGCGCCCAAGTAGGGCGCGGGCTGCGGGCGGGCTGGCGGAGCCCTGCACGCCCCCTCTCTGCACCGGGGCGCACTCCCGGCCAGACCCCGTGCTCAGGGGCCGCTGCCTCTTGGACGGCGCCCCGCTCCCAGCCGACTGGCCCGGGAGGGTTCTGCGGTGCTGCGCGGCGCGGCGCGGCGCGGCTTCGGCTCTACGCGCGCTCGCGAACGCTCTCCGGGAACTGGCTGGCCTGCGTAACTTAACGTCTTTGCGGAGGCTGCAATTTGATTTTTCTTTCCAGAGCGTCAGTTCGCCTCCCGGGTGCACTGGCCGCTCCACGCGAGGCACAAGGGCGCCAGGATCCAGGTCCCCGGGCACACCTCTCCCTGCCCAGCCCTAGCGCGGAGCCCGACCACTTTGCTGGCGCTCCGCCTCCTTTCGCTCCGCGACTTTGCGGAGCTGCTCGCCGGCCCTGGGCTGCCCGGGCGCGCGGCGGGCAGTGCCGAGGGATCCGCCGCAGCTGCCACCGCTGGGCTTTCCCTGCGAAATCCCAGCCCCGACTCCCGACTCCGAAATCGCCCGGAGCCCCCTCCTCGGGCCCTCGGCCCCGCCCCCTGCTTTGCATTCGACCAATGAGCACCGGGCTTGCCGGGGGGCGGGCAGCCTCCCCCTCCCCAATGACACACTATATTTAATAGGATTAGCGTTCTGCTGTGTGCCTATACCAGTGCGCCGCGAGCCCTCGCTAAATGTCAAGGGCTCTGGAGCTGGGGATGAACCAGAACCTTCATCGGAAGGCGCTGGTCTCTTCCACGGGAGAAAAGGGGGCGGCGAGAGAAGCGGAATGGCTGGAGGTACCAACGACCCAAGGAAACCAGAGGAAAGGGCTGGGGAGGACAGGAGGAGGAAAGAAGCGCGGCCACTGTCGAGCTGGCCGCCGCCCCCTGTGCACACGGGGCCTGTCCGACCCGAGGCACACGGTCTCCCTGCTCCATACGCGCACACACGCTTTTGCACACGTGGATCTGGCTACCGCACGCAGAGAACAGTGACCGCAGGGGAGGCGCGAGGTGTGGGAAAGGCGCTCGGGGCCTCCGCGGGGCGCGCGCCGCCCTCCCCGCCCCCTCCGCGCGCGCGCGCACGCTCGAGCACACACGCGGCTCCGCGAGACTCCTACAGCTGCGCGAAGCCCCCCAACCCCCACCGTCCCCGCGTTCCCGGGTGGGATGCCGTGCTGGCTGGGACCCCAGCTGGGCTGAGAAGAGTAGGTGGCAGAAGTAGGGTCCTGCCTTGCCCCTCTGAATGCTGCCTATGCCAGGGGTGACGTAGGAGTGCTCTGGGACCCAGGCTGGGTCCTCTCCCGTGAGGACTGCACAAAAGGGGCTGATCAAGGGAAACAGGACAAAGAACGCTCTTGCTACGGGCTCGGGAACATCCTGGAGGAGCCCTTTATCCTACTGTAAAACATTGCACCCGTGTCCCCTTGGCTTGTGCATAGATCTGCACAGCTGATCTGGAGCTACCATAGTTGGCAAACAAAGAAAACTAGAAGACTTGGGGGGGGGTGAGGAGCCCACCTCTCCTTTCTGCCACCAGCAAGAGAGTGCTGAGAGCCCCTGAGAGCAGCCAACCCCCCCATTTACCAGGCTCTGTATCCCAGCACCCAACACCGGGCTTGGCCTCTGGGAGGCGCTAGACAAGGATGGCTGGATAGAAGAGTTCCTGCCCTCCGTGGGAGTGGGAGTGTGACTATGCCCAACCTGGATCCCATGAGACATGTATTCCACACCTGCTATGTGCTGAGCGTGGGGCCAGACCCTTGAGGGAACAGATACAGGGTGTGCTGCTCCCTGCCCTTCAGACCCACACAATCTAGTCAGGAAGACAGAAGGACATCAATCACCAAGGTGGTGGGCAGGAATATAACTGGCTATGGCCTAGAGGGAGAGGGACATTCATTCCAATCAGAGGGACTTGAAGACCCTCATCATGGGTTGGCTGTGGTGGCCCTTTGCTGAGTCTGCACCCTCATTGGCTCAGAGGCAAGGGGGGGCCAGCGTTCAGCTTCTTTAGTGGGACCTGCAATGGTGTTACCATTCTAAGCCCCTTCCCCACTTAGAGGGCAGCCCAGCAATGAAACCTAGTGAGTGTCATGGCCATGGCACCTTGGTCTCCTGGTTGGGCACAGTGGTCCTCTGGATGCTATCTACAGATGAGGGGCACATGTCTGGCTGGCTCCCGACTGACTCCACTGCCACCTGACTGGAATGGCTAACACCTTTTGTCCTCTTCAGCCTCGACTGGCTCCCACGGGCTCCCGGCTGCCACTTCGTTCTCATAACATTACTTCTTTGATGCAGGAGAGATCATTTACCAGCTGGACTGTGAGTCAGGAGACCTGTTTTTCACTCTGAGCTCAATTTTGAGCCGTGTGATCAAGGACAAGGTAGTCTGCCTTTCTGAGCTTCTATTTCTTCCTCTTTAAAATGGGGATTAGGGCGCCTGGGTGGCTCAGTTGGTTAAGCGACTGCCTTCGGATCATGTCATGATCCTGGAGTCCCGGGATCGAGTCCCATATCGGGCTCCCTGCTCAGCAGGGAGTCTGCTTCTCCCTCTGACCCTCTTCCCTCTTGTGCTCTCTGTCTCTCATTGTCTCTCTCTCAAAAAAAATAAATAAAATCTTTAAAAAAAAAATAAAAAATAAAATGGGGATTAATAGAGCCTCCCCCCGGAGACGTGTCATGAGAATAAAGTGAGCTGGCAGATGTGAGACCCATCTGAGCACGGTAAGCGCTGAGCAAATACAAGGGCCTGGTAACGCCAGCCTCAGACGGAGACTCTGTGTCAGCACGGGCCCTCCCAGGTTGGCCCCCCTCCTATCTTCTCTCTTTTTTTTTTTTCTTCATCAACTCACACCTTGTTCAGTAAGAATAGCCTCTGCGTTGTCCCTGGATCGTTCCCCCTGCATTCCTGATTATAAGTGGGTTCAGGCCATAATTATTTCCTCAGCAGCGGAGGCCCTGGTGGGCCAGGGTGAAGGACGAGGTAAGGGGAAGAAGAAGCTGCCCAGCGTAAGAGTTCTGCTCGCTCCGGGTTACCCTTGTTGGGAGGGCACTGAAGTCCCGGTCTTCAGTCCCTTAACAAAGTTCAATGATGTCCCATCAGGGCACCCAGCTTAGTCATTATCAGGATAATAAGAGCAACAGAGATTTGCGAGTCCTCATTATATCCCAGGCACCCAGCTTCACACATAGTAACTCACTGTGTCCTCATGACAACCATGTAGAATAGGAATGTTATTAACCCCATTTTACAGATAAGGAAATATGATTTCAAAGCCCCTTTCTTTACTCTCTTGGGCTCGAAACCCAGTTCCCAACCTTGGGAATCTTCCAGTCTAAAAGGCAGAATCTAAAAGCACAACAGGGAACCTGAAATTGCATCATGTCCTGATGAGAGGTCATTAGATAAAAGGACTTCATAAAAAAGGACCTCAAAAAAAAAAAAAAGCCTTCTGCCCCCACTCCAAGACTGTACATAGAGAAGCCCAAAGCAAAGCAATATAGCTAGTTCCATGACAGGACCAGCAGAGAGGGGTCCCTTGGACCCCCTGGAGTGAGTGTGGACAGGGAGAGAGGAGGTGTGAGGGCATCCCAGGAAGGCGTGGGTATGGTACACTGAGGGGCAGTAAGGAACCAGGCCTGCCTGGAGCAGGAGAAGGTGCCTGGGAATCAAAGTGAGCTACTTTGCATGGCCTTGCATGACACAGGAACAGTATGGACCGCATCCTGGAGCTTCCCAAGCACATGACACCATTGGTGCCTTTGGAAGCTGGACCTGGCAGCAGCGTGCAGAGGTGAGAGGATCAGCTGCTGTGGTTGCCCCAATTTCTTAGATTGTGGGTGCAAAAGTAACGACCAGAAAGCAAAGGTGGCCTGAGACACCATGTCTCCTGCCCAGCCCTGATCCTCAACCACTCGCCATGCTCAGGGGAGCTGGAAGACACAGCCTGCCCTTGAGGATCTCTGAGCACGTGAACAAGGCACAGCCTGCCCTTGAGGATCTCTGAGCATGTGAACAAGGCAGAGCTGCCTTTCCTTTCTTTTTTTTTTTTTTAAACAACAACCCCAAAAAAAGTGAAGCAAGTACAGAATTCCCGGAGGGGAGAAAGAGAAGTAAATACGTGAAATTAACATGCAAAGTCTCAGCTGACTGGCAATTGGGGAGCTGTGGGCTCAGAGTAAATGCCAAGCTCTCTCTGCCTCTTCCTGAGTTTCTCAGGCCTGCAGTGTGAGCCAGAGCTCGGCTTTGGTCTCTCACTCACCCACACACAATCAGAGCTGATGGGCCCACACAGATCCCCTTCCTGACCTGCACTGAATATTTCCGTGTTCAGCAGCGTGTGCAGCTCACGAGGTATCCTGTACCTCTAAGCTTCAAACAGGGCAGTCTCACGGAGAATTCAGGTTAAACACGCGGTGGTATTTGCTATCCTAAGGAACGTGTGAGATGGGCCACCGCTGTAGGAGAAGGGAGTCCATCCCAGTTTTTAAACTCCAAAATTGGGATCTTTTTTGGCAAACCATTTACCAATGGTGCCAAAAGAGAGAAAGGCTGGAGAGGTCCCTAGCAGGGGGCCCATATCCCACGATGTTTACGTGAAGGCTCAGTAGGCAAGGAATGATTAGGAGGGTCCAGAGG